TACATTTTCAGTTAGACATGCATTAGTAACTTGACTTTGAACATTGTTATGATCTGTTCAGTTGTTATCACTTATCAGATTATTGTCTGTTATCTTTTTGAAGGTGTTTTCCTTGAATTCGCAACGCGAAAGTCAAATTCGCGAATGTGTTTAATTGATTTGTTGTTTAATTTCACTCTGTATTATGTTGAAGGCAAAAAAGACCAGAAGGTACACTTTCGCGTTGCGATTTTGACTTTCACGTTGCAAAAGTGTACCTTCTGGTCTTTTTTGCCTTCAACATAATGCAGAGTGAAATTAAACAACAAATCAATTAAACAAAAAAATAATTCTTATTTACACTTATCAGATTGTTGTCTGTTATCTTTTTGAAGGTGCTTTCCTTGAATTCGTGTTGCGATTGTTGCGAAAGTGTACCTTCAACAGGTCCTTTTTGCTTTCAACATAATGCAGATTGAAATTTTCTTAAACAACAAATCAACTTTTACAAATCAATTAATTAAACAAGCAAAAAACAATTCTTATTTACACATCTAAAAAAATCAACAGCACATTTAACCCCATACAACTGGTTGTTTATGCACAAATACATCAATTTCACGCAGCTCACTTCAGGATCAGGATTAACCTGCAGAAACCAAACATTTGCTCAAACAACACTTTCTACACATCTAAAACCAACAAACATCAAATTATTGAATTCTAGGTACTTAACCAAACATTTTCAAACCAACAAAGAGTATATATGTTAACAACGCTTGCTCAAACTTACCATTGTTTATGCACACTTTCAGTAGGCGGATGCAGGTAGGCAACGTCTCGCATATATCACTCTAGCCATAAAATGCCAAAACCACAACCCTACTGCACCTCTATCTCTATCTGTGGGAGGTAGAAACTATTTACTTCATGTCGTCAAACGTTCCAAGCACATGCATATAAGAGGACCACAATCCCCTCTGGCTCCCTCCGTTTGTTTTGGCGCTGTCTCGTCTCTGATCATTGTAACTTTGAACTTTTTTGGCTTCTTGTTTCCAGATTTAGTCCAATAATCAATCGCATCCAAGTATTTAGCCAAATGAGCGCTCCATCCCTTACAAATAATATCTCTCAAATCAGACAATGGTATGTAATTCAACATGCTGTCATATACAATCGTCTTCAGGGATGGGAGCTGAAGCTCAACAAGAAGCCAATGACGACGTTCTATAATAGGGATAAACAACTGCAATCATAAATAATAATTCAATTGTGCACATCAAATAAAATTTATGAACACCTTTAAAATATTCAAAAATAAATTTAACCTTATCGACCTCCTATCACGCAGGATAAAGTTTAGCTTTTCCATTACCCTTAGTGAATTTAATAAATAATTTTTTTTTAAAAATTAATCAAAATGGAATATAAGAAGAATATAAGACTTACCCCCATTCTAAATAGCCATTGTATTCAACCCCTAATAACACACCCCACCAAGACCGATCAAGAAACAAATGCATATCATCGTCGAGTTTGCATATGTCAGCGTAACACCCCTGGCTTCGCTCATGTAGATAAAAATCAATTGCGGTCTTAGCCCAAAGGGTATTATCCAGAATTGTGTTCGGTAGTGTTCTCCTCTCCACTTCAGATACCAGAATGGTACTGACCGGTAACTCATACGAAAGCCAACTCTCATCCATCACGTCGGGCACGTGAGGGGGTTTATCAATATGTCGACATATTATGCCATGTGAATCGGGATCTTGAATGGTGGGAGGGGCCTCTTGAAGGATGATAGTGGCCTCTTGAACGATAGAAGAGGCCTCTTGAATGATGACAGGTAAATCGGGCTTCTTCTTATGAAGTCTTGGCATTATTGGGGTGAACGGAGACATAATGGCACGTGCACGACGTCTGATGCATGAACCCCGTCGTGCAAGAAAAACCCGACATAAAGCATCTACCTTATCGGGTCGCTAAAAATAAATTAATACATAAATCAGTAAATAAACAAATAAATAATGCCGAAAAAGGGTTATTTACATTTTTAGTATAATATTAAACAAACTTACCTCATTGCGTAGAGTATGAACCTCATTCTACAACGATGCAACAATCTCACGTAGAGCGGTTACCTTATCACGTAAAGTAGATACCTCACCACGTAAAGCACCATTGTCATCGCGTAAAACCTCTACCTTACCACGTAAAGACCGTACCTCATCATACCATGCACCATTTTCGTCACGTAAAATACCTACCTCCTCACGCAAAGCATTGACCTCATCATGTAACTCCCCTAACTCATCCCGTGGAGGTGGAGAACATGGAGATCAATGTCGTGGCATTTTTTTCGATCGTCTATCATGAGGTGATGGTGAAGAAGAGGCTCGATGATGTGATGGAATAGGTGATGGCTCTCGTTGTGGAGGTGATGGCTCTGGTGTCAAGCTGTAGAATCGGCTCGATCAAGTGATGGCTCTCGAAGTGGGGGTGCTCATCATCCATGCCATCAAAAAAATGCTTACTAGTTTGCCATCAATCAGTGGCAATCTCAGCCTCTGTGGGTGTCAACCTCTGCAATTGATAGTTGGCCTCCTAACAATATAAAAGCTCAAACAAAGTTAAACGTCTACTAGTAATAAGTTGTTTATATATGGTAGTATCTGTGTTAACTTACATCATTCATCGTCGTATATGGTAGTAACTCTTCCCAATCCAACATCCAGATCCTCATCCAGAAAATAGCCCTAGGAATATCATTTGAATTTTTGATTACATATGTCTGCATGCTGGGAAAAGCCTCAAATATCCAAATCTACAAACAATATAATACACAAACATTAATAATTGTTAAATATTAATTATAATTTTGGAAACATTATATAGAAATTCTTACCTTAAAGGCCCAAATAAAGCCTGCCAAAGTGTATTTGGAACCATGGCCACGCAAACTTTTTCGGTCCTCAAAGGCAGACGACAACTTTTTCCAGGTAACTTTCCATAGATATGAACCCCACGGAAACACGTTCCATGCATTTAGGTCCTCTACCAATAATATTAGGTCCTCAGAAATAGGTTGTCTGACCTTTTTGCCTACAAAGCCGGCATGCAAAAGTAATAAAAGGCATATTCGGACAGCATCAAGGTCATCCATCCGAGTAAAATCATCTTTAATAAGTAATCTTTTCAAGTCATTGACGTGTAAACTGGGCTTCGCCTTTGCCAGCTCAGGAAAAACCCGAGATAACCATGATGGGCGGGCGATATGACTAGTGTACCGACCTACTTCATCGTGTCCGAAGCGTAGACCAGTGATTAAGCAAAACTCCTCCCGCCCAAAACAAGTATACGCCGGTGGAAAATGAAATCATATCTCTTCATTACCACGTTGTATCCTCTCGGGTAGATCGTTAGTCATGGTCTGAAGAAACAAATGGGTCAACATAGCATCTCCACCTGGATGTTGTACTTTCAGCCATGACCCGAAGCAAGTATCCTCAAACAATTTTCTTTGTACAGGTGTAAGTGTCGACGCAATTGTAGTGGCTAGGCTTAATTTATTCCTTAGAGTCAATGAAGCCGAAAAAATTTCTAACAAAAACAATAAACATACCAAGTTAGATATACCAAAAACTACAAATTATACACTATAAACAAACATGATATTAAACAGTGAAAATAAAGCCAAATATGTTTCAAACTAGCACAAACTAGCACGGTATTCACCCAAGTCATTATTCTATCATAGTGAACAAAATGCATCAGATAACATTCCAGAAGTTATCAAATTGAAAGTTGGGTCAGGAAAATAGGAGAGATAATAAAGTTCAATGAGTAATGATGTAACTTACCCTTATATCTATACTGCAATATTTTACAGATACCTTCCTGGAACGGATGACTTGTTAGTTTTTGGAAAGTCTCACGTGCAGCAACCTTAATATACGGCTAAAGAAAGACTCTACCGTTTTTTTTTTTGTTTTTTTTAACAAAACCGGTAAAAAATTACCGGAAACATTATTATTTCTACCGGTTTTATTATTATTGGGAGCTTTACCGGTTTTGTTAACATATCCGATAAAGCGCTACCGGTTTTGTTATTTTTTCTACCGATTTTGTTATTATTGGGCACTTTACCGGAAATGTTAAAAAACATTAATGTTTTAGGTAGAAATAATAATGTTTTAGTTAATTTTTTTTATCAGTTTTATTAAAAAAATAATAACTAAACCGGTAACATCTTTCCTTAACTGTATATTAAGGTTGTCACACAGTAGAACTTCCCGTTAGTTTTTGGATATTGTGTACACAATATACCTTAAGTTTGAAGCAATTTGCAAATGCACTTCAGATTGGACTTTTCCTTAAGATAACCTCCTAAACTACCAACTTTTGGTTAGTTAAACATTTTTTTTATATTCATTTATTCCTTCAAGAAACTTATATTTTTTGAGTTAGTTATAGTATTTGGATAATACCTCTGTCAAACCAACATGATTTATCCAAACAAAATTCAAGAATTTAATCACCAAATCTATTTAATTTGCTAACTTACGAGTAACCATAATTATATTATGTCTGACATCTTCAGTTAAGGCCACCACAAATACCTTTCAATCTTAACTTCTTGTAGCATGCTACACAAGTGTTTACATCTTGTAGTGATGTTGCAGGATGTGAGCATCAATTTTGCTACGTTCTTGTCCAACATGTGGGTATTAGATTTGGCTTGGTTTTTGTAATTATGAATAATTAAGTTTTCCCATTTTTCTCATGGCCCGAAATTCAGTGTTGATGGCTTTAAATATCTCTAGATTTGTTAGTTTGTATATGTATGCATGAGTGTGGAATTTGCATGTGTTTTACGTGCAATTCATCTTCTTCACTATTCTTTTATATATAGGTAAGTATTTTCGCAGGGGATTGCTTTTGAGGTTGACAATGAGATGGTTGCAGATGACGATGACAGAGACGTTTCGCAAACAAACTAAATTAAATAAGGTTTTCTCACACTTGCTCGCAGTTTCAAGTTTATGGAGACAACATCTTTGAACTAATTAATCCCATTACAAAATGAAATCTAAAATTACATCAAATTCCAATCTATCAAAGTAACACTGCAACGAACGTGTAACTTGTTTACTTAGTTTTTACCTTGGAGTCGGAGGGTAAATGCTTGCAAGGCTACAAGAACTTCCTTTATTCTCTCCTTAGACGTCGGATCCACAAGGTTGCCATCGCTATCAAACTTCGCCGGAGGCTGAAACACATTCAAGTGAAACTCGGGTTTATTGATGAAATGAAGGTCAATATAAATCCCAATTTGGCGAAGATGATAATGTGACCGAGCACCGCCAAAGCCTCCGCCAGCGCTTATGATAGCGGCCGCTTTATCTCCCCATACATTTGGTGATCTTGAACCCCAGTCAATTGCATTCTTCAGAGGTGCTACAATGGAGCATGTAATTATATAATGTGAAATGGGTTTCTTTGATAGACTGTGATTAATTGATAAATACAAATAGTTGGTCATCTGATTTGTTGAGAATTTATAGATTTCGGTATATTTCGCTAAAGGTCCGCTGATCTCTCGTGTCTAATTACCTCCGAAGGACTCAAAAAGTATTTCTGCATATGGAAAAAGAACCTTAAATATCTCTCAAAATATTTTAATTTGCCCATTAATCTATCATAATTAAATCTATTATATTATGACCCTATAGCTAATATAGGCAATATTAATCATTATAAAACTTATTAAGTGCGATCGAGAGATATCGGATGCGACCTAATATCTTTATTTTCTTCTGTTCTACATCCTTAAAGATATAAAACTCTTTAATATCAACCAACAACTCTTCGTTCAAGTCAAAAAGAATGGATCGCTAGGAGTAACAGGAACTCATTTGATCCATCAAATGATTTCCAAACCATCAACACATAAATTCTTAATGAAATGATCATAAAAAAACACTGTACCATAGAAATATAGCAAAATTACCGGTAACTGAATAGTTGTATTCGGGGGAGGCGAAAAGAATGCTATCGGACTCCAAAATCTTCTGCCTGAAAGCCTCGACAGCAGGGGGATACTTCCCATCAACTTCCAGATCCGTGTCGAGCATTGGAAGTGGTGAAATGTCTATGTATTCCATCTGAATCCCATTAATGGACTCCTTACTAATCTCAGTAGCTGAAACAAAAAAAAAACATAAACAAATCAACATTCCCAGAAAACCAAATCAAAAGCCCAAGCTACAAAAAGAACAATTTAAAATTGATCGAAGACATTTACCTGTTCGAATTAATCCTCTGTTATAAGAGCCTTTCCTTAAAGACCCACATAGGGCAGCCACATTGATCACTGGTTTTGCGGCTACAACAGCTTCCATAGCACTCTAATCTCTTGAATCTCTCGTTTCCATTGGATAACGTGCTGGTGTCGTTATATAAAAGGGTGAAAGGTAGGGTTTGAAAGAGGGACGATGACAGGGGTTGGCATGCGTCGTCGATGAGGTTTGGGTTGGTGGGACCGTGTGATTAGAATAACTGGAGATCAGTGGTCAGATTTGGACGACAGGAATTGAATAATCAAAAAAGATTTTTTATGGTCTCCGAGGGAAGACATTTCTTTGGACAAATTTATATACTTTTCAAATTAAATTAGGAAATTAACACTTAAATAAATAATGGGGGTAAACTAGCCAAGTGGTCGCTAAATTTTTAGTAAGTTTTACTTTTCCTATGTTGGAAATGTTGGTGGGTACTCGATAAACACGTAATTTTATTAATTAAGAACTAAAATACGATACAACAACATGAACACGACACTAGTTGTTGCTAGTTTTTACAAATACCATAAACAAAGTTATGATAAGCTTCTCACCCAATCTCTCGGTTTTCTTCTTTACTCACTCATGCATATTTTTTCATGTACAAACTAACTACATAATTCACACATATATAAGGGATAATAAACCGACTAATTAAAGACTCTAGATGCCACCTTAATTTCTTTTTGCTGCCACGTTTTCATGCTTAATTGTTAAGTATGTATAAGTCAAAAACATTAAGGAAGTTTATTGCTAATTTTCCACGTTTAGGGTGTATAATTTGCCACCTTATTTCTTTAATCTTTAAGGACCCATATGTTGCCAAGTGTTTTTTATCATTTGTTTTTCAATTTACCACATGTTTGTAATTGTTGTCACCTAAATTAGTTTGTTGTTTTCAATTCTCCAACTTTACTGACGTTGAGTTTGATTTTTAACACTCCCCCTCAAACTCGAATTTTCATTCCAAGCTTTTCTTTTAGTCGATTGAATTCATCTGGTTTCAATGGCTTTATAAAAATATATGCAAGTTGATCTTCAGTTCTGCAGTAGATTAATTACATATTTTTATTTTTCACTTGCTCTCGAATAAAATGATATTTTGTATCAATATGCTTACTTCGACTATGGGAGACATGATTATTGGCAAGAGAAATTATGGACTTGTTGTCGATATAAATTGTAGTTGGTTCTTCTTATGCTAAGTTTAGCTCGTTCAAAATATTCTTTAACCATAATGCTTGACAAGTGCATGCTACAATGACTATATATTCTGCTTCACATGTTGAAAGAGACACCATTTGTTGCTTCTTTGAAGGCATGTACTTAACACTTTTTGTTGGACATCGATTCAACAGGTAAACTGCACATCGAACTGCTTCAGTCCAGAAATTTCTAGGTAAGTGCTTACCTTTTATCATGCTCCTCGCCATGTCAAGGATTGTATAGTTTTTCCTTTCAGTAACTCTATTTTGTTGAGGCGTGTATCTAATAGTCAGGTTATGGATGATTCTATGCTCCTTGTAGAATTCTTCAAATAAATCTGATGTATACTCGCCTCCTCTATTAGATCTGGGTATCTTTAAATATTGGCCACTTTCTTTTTCTATCATTGCTATAAATTCTTTTAATTTCTCTAATGCTTCTGATTTTTCTTTTAATATATATATCCAACTTTTTCAACTAAAATCATCAATAAAGGTTAGGTAGTACATGTTACCTCTAAGTGATAGGATGTTATAAGGATCATATATGTATGTGTGCACAATCTCCAACAGTCTTCGGGCTCGCCAGTATCTACCAACTTCGAAGCTTTATGTTATTTTCCTTTAATGCAAGCCTCACATAGTTGATTTGGAAGGTTGATTTCTAGTAGTCCTTTCACCATATTTGCCTTCGATAATAACTTCAATCTCGAGAATCCAAGATGTTCATATCTCAAATGCAATAACCATAAATCATCTTTATTTGTCGTCTTCATACACTTGACTTCTTCTGACTCGATGTTGATGGTAAATACACAATCCTGAGTCATATCAACTTTGGCAATTAATTCTCCTTCTTTATTTTTATGACGAGGGAGCGATTTTTCATCTCTATTTTATATCTTTTTTTCATAAGCTGACCAAGGCTGATGATTTTGCTTTTCAAAGTTGGTACATAATATACATATGAGATGTATTTCTTTTCATTGTTCTTTTGAGTAACCATAACTTCACCTTTGCCTTTGACTTCTACATGCAAGTCGTCACCAAACGTTACTCGACCATGGACAATTTCATCTAACTTCATAAATAGCTCCTTTCGACCAAACATGTGATTGCTGGCACAATTATCGAGATACCAAATATTTTCTTAAATTCTTCATTTTCTTTATGAGTCTGGAAAACGTGAGATTTTTCAACATTTTCTTCTTTAGTTGTTGCTACATGATTTCGTTCTTCTTGTATGGGAGTTGATGTACACTCGTAATCAAAATGACAATACTTGTTACAATTATAACATTGTACCTGAGATTTATTTCTGCTTCGACCTCTGAATCATCTTCCACGACTTGATTTTTGGTAATTTTTATTTGTTTAAGTGTTATCATATGGCTGACCACCACGTCCACCTCTAAATGTTCCACGATAATTACCATGATTTCATCTACCTTATGTGTAGTTGTTGCTAGCTTATCCTTTATTGACATTCATGTTGCTTTGCAAAGCTTGCTATAAATTTTCAGTCTTCATTTTGCTTTGTCTTCTGCTTGTAGGCTTGGAGTGAACCCACAAGTGCATCAATTGATATATGTGACAAATCTTTCAATTCATCGATTGCTATGACCACATACTCGGTCTTGGCGTAACCTTCTTCGACAATATTACAATAATCTTGGGAACCAAATAACACATTTATTTGAATTCTTTAGTTTTCATAATTTAACTTTGTTAACCTCGGGATTTGTAATTGAATCAAATTAGCAATTTTTAATGTTGTGTATGATTGAACCAAACTCGAATAAAACTCTGATACCACTTGTTGAAAGGTTTGGTGAACACTCGATAAACACGTAATATTATTGATTACGAACTAAAATACAATACAACAATACGAACATGACACTGGCTGCTGTTAGTTTTTACAAATACCACAAACAAAACTTTGTTAAACTTCTCACACAATCTCTCGATTTTCTTCTTTACTAACTCATACATATTTTTTCATGTATAAACTAACTACATAATTCACACATATATAAGGATAATGAATCGACTAATTAAAGACTCTAGATGCCACCTTAATTTCTTTTTGCTGCCATGTTTTCAAGCTTAATTGTTAAGAATGTATAAGCCAAAAACATTAAGGAAGTTTGCTGTTAATTTTCCCTGTTTATGGTGTAAAATTTGTCACTTTATTTCCACCCATATGTTGCCAAGTGTTGTGTATCATTTGTTTTTCAATTTACCACATGTTTGTAATTGTTGTCTCCTCAATTAGTTTGTTGTTTCCCATTCTCCAACTTTGTCGACGTTGAGTTTGATTTTTAACATTCTCATTTAACTTTGAAAACTTACAAATTGATCACTAATATTATCAACTTGTAAAAAAAGGTCAATCAACGTTAACAGTAGTTAACATTTGTTAAAAAAAATTGAGTTGGATCGTTAAAATCTTATCTAGATAATATTGTGTCATACTAGAAAACCGATGAATTCCTTATTGGTCGTTTCTCTGTGTGTGTGAAGCCCTCAAACTTCGAGCAAAAAGACATTATTTGAACCAAAAGTAGTTAATAACATAGGATTCCTCAAACCCCATTGCTGAAAAAAGTAGAGTTAGTGGTTTCATGAGATAATAAAAGTCACAAATTAAAAACAACCCATTTCATCATACCTTCAATACAAGACTCAAGCTTCGTTAGAGCATCAATCCCTAACCTTCCAATGTCTTCTCTTTCCTCTTTGCCAACCACTTTTAATTTCAAAACTTAGTACATCGAAACAAATTTCTATGGATAAGTATACCCACAAAAAGAAATGGAAAACGTGGATTGTCAAAATGGCATTAAAACCAATTAACCCATCACTTGACATATGATAAAGATATGAGGTTGTGGATGTTCGTATTCTCCACTATCTTGGAGAGTCTCTAGATCCCCCACAAGTATTAAAAGTAAACCACTCTCTTCTCTTATATGTCAGAACCTGAAACTTTAGTTTGCTGACATATGTGCAAGCATGATCTTTTATTATTATATAGCTAGTACTAACTCAAAGAAATTTAGTAATATTTTCTAATTGTTTGTGTATTACAACATTTGAGTTATCAAAAATAAAAGTTGAAACCATCTTAAAACATTAAATTAGTTAATTTTTTCTGTATATTAATAGTGACGATTTCATTTATGTCTTGTATTTCATTTATTTGTTCAGTTTGCATCAAGCTAAAATTGTTTAACCTTTCATCACAATTAGTATTTTTAAGAAATTTCCAGGTTTCACTACTTTTATTTGTGCAACTTTTGTTTTCAGTATGATTTGGAAGTCTGCATGCTTAGTTTATTTATCTTCTTACATTATGTTAAGTGATTATGTTCTTCATGATCTCTAGTTTGTCACATCATCACTGAAAGAATCAGCCTTAGAGTTTGATCTATTAGATACAGTTCTGTTCAAAGGATGAGTGATCATTTGTTCCTTATAGTCGGACAGAAACCATGAACATTAGACGACGAGGGTTTGGTCCCTTCATAACTTATCAAGTTTAAGCCTATTGAAATTGATTTCATCGTCTTCATAGGGCTTTCAAATGAACTTTTAGAAATGAGTGAACCCCTTGTAACCAATGTGTAACCATTTTAACGACCCACATTTTCCATTCCTTTTGTGAGTATTTTCAACCATAGAAACTTGCTTCAATGGGCTATGTTTTGGGATTAAAAGTGGTTAGCAAATAAGAAAAGAAAGGCATTGAAAGGTTATGAATTATTGTTCCATTAATGGAGCTTGAGTCTTGTATAGAAGGTGTGATGAAATGGGTTATTCTTAATTTATGGCTCTTATTATCTCATGAAACCATCAAATCAACTCTTTCTTTAACAATAGGGCTGAGGAATCCTCCATTGTTAAGTATTTTGAGTTCAAAGAATGTCTGCTTGCTCGAAGCTTTAAGGCTTCACACACAGAGAGAGAAAAAGACAGTAAATAATGACTTCA